CCCGGAAGGAGGACTCGCCTCAGGGCTTCGCCAGGCCACGAGCCGTCCCTCTTCGCGGACGTGGCGGCGGAGCCGGGTGGCGCGAGGTGGAACACCGGGCCAGGGGACGCGCTCAGGCCGCCGCCGAAGGTAGGCCTCTTAAGTCTCCGGCAGCTCCCGCCCCGCCCAGTACCCGGGTCTCTATGGCAACCGACAGCCGAGCGGATGCGCCCGAGGGCCAGTCACGCGGGATTTGGCCGGTGCCGCCTCTCGCTGAGCGAGTTGCTTGTCCTCTGTTTTGGGGATACTTGTGCCAGCGCCACCTGTCCCCGTAGTCCAAGACCGTTTGTACTGCTGTATCGCACGATCCTGAGGGTCCTCGACTTTCTCCGAATCACAGCGGTCCCTCTTTCCCGACACATCCCCTACGTTCTCCTTGAAAGCCAGAATTTTTTTTATCTCTAACAACGCCTAACTTAGCAGGTTTAGCGGGGGGAGGGGCACAGGAAATGTTAAAACAGATGAGAATAGAACTGCTGAAGAAAAGAGAAAAATAAAAAGACGAGCCTACTTTATTTCCGTGTTTTTTAGAACAATACATTTCATGTTAGACAGACTCTTTAGGGGTAAGTCGTTTAAAGATCTTTGCTCATTTAAGACCGCCTCCCTCCTTTCCAGAAGCTGCTTGCGAAGAATGGCGTTGCTGAAATGGACCTGCAAAAGATCGAATTCTCCCCACTCTCCAAATTATAGAATGGAACTAGGAAAGTAAACCTCCCCAAAGGGTTTTAATATGGCTAATTTTTGAGAGCCCTAGAGTGAAGTCTGCATCAAAGAAAAATCAGCTGTGTTCATTCTTAAACGTAGTAGAAAAATGGAATAACCAAATTACTAAAATGTAAGTTTTCTATTGAGTTTATGTGCGTTTAAAACACTTCATTAATGGCCTTTTTAACCTGTTTTGTTATTTTCAAAGTTTATGTTCAAAAACTGAAAAGGAAAAGAAAACATTGCCTTTTTTTTCTATTGCCACTTTGAAACTTCTCCAGTAAATTTCAGTAGATATGGTAGTCTAATGATTTTAATACGAGTAGGAATATCTAGAGCCTGTTTGCATGCACACTAATTTCTCTTACAGTAAAATTCAAGGAAAATGCAAACGTGAATACATGAAGGTCATGCAATGAAATGTAACATGTATATACAGGCATTTCTTGCCTGATCTAGAAAAACTTTTTGTAAAACAGAATTGGGCATTGGATTACAGAAGAAATTTGACAAATTACGTTTCAAGTTTTAAGTGGAAAAAACATTAAATTCTTCAAAATCTATAAAATAGATGCTAATATCTATTTAAAAGAAAAATAATCTGCTAGATACTTGGTCTCCATTTTCTCTATAAGGCAAAAGGAACCAAAGACTGCAAGTTGAATGAAGTTCTCAATTCTGGACTGAGATCAAACAAAGTCATAGGATAAGCTTACCAAGTACAAGACCCAAACTTAGCAAAAAGCATGCCAAATATACTTAAGTCCAACTACTTTGTAGAAGTGGTCCAATCTAGAAAATAAACGTAATTTACATATACACTAACATCAGTTATGGTCAAGGATTCTAAATTGTGTTCTCTAGTAGTCCTTCCCACGATGTGTTAAATAGGAAGGGATAGACTTTGACATTTGATAAACTTACCTCTGTGTAATCTTAGGCAAGTCCTTAACATCCTTGGCCTCAGTTTCTGCATCTGTAAGGTGGAGATAGCATAGTAGTCCCCCCTTATCCATAGGGGGTATATTCTAAGACTCACAGTGGGTGCCTGAAATATATAGTACTGAATCATTTTTTTCTGTTTGTGTGTAACATTCACAAATGTAATGCCTTTTCCATCTTAATTAAGCATTTATCATGCACTGTGACCGTAACTTTTGCACTTTGAGGTATGACAGCAAACTAGCATGAATTTCCTTTTCCATCTTCCCAATTTCATGGATAGAAGATTCATTTTTATCATAAAGCTTAGCAACCTCAACCTATGATTTTTTTCCACTCCTTATCAAGTCAAAGAACTTTCAACTTTTCACTTAAAGGAAGCACTTTATGCCCTTTGGCATGTCTGAATTGCCAGCATCACTATTCTTGTGCTTTTTTTTATTAAGGAAAATAAGGGTTACTTGAACACAAGCATCACAATACCGTGACAGCTGATCTGAAAACCAAAAGGGCTACTCAGTGACTAATGGGTGGGGAGTATTTACAGTGTGAATTCGCTGGACAAAGAGATGATTCACATTCTGGGTGGGATGGAGCAGGACAGAGTGAGATTTCATCATGCTATTTAGAAAGGCATGCAATTTAAAATTTAAGAATTGTTTATTTCTGGAATTTTCCACTTAATATTTTCAGATCACTGTTGACTGCGCGTAAGCGAAACCTTAGATAAGAGGATACGACTGGAATGCTTACCTTAAGGATGTTTGTGAGGATTTAATGAGATGATGTGTGCCAAGAAGAGTGTCTGGAAAGTAATAGTGCTCAGTAATTGTTAGCTCCTTTCTCCCTCTAGAAGTTTTATGTATAAAGTAGCTTTTAAATCTTTAGATCCTAGAAGGTTTGAGGTTACAGAGAAAGCTAGTCTGCTGAACTGGCATCTGAAAGATTTACTAGAGTCCATGTACTTGGTTTGTTTATAAACATTAAGAGGTATTTTTTGAGATAGACTGGTATAGTTCAGTGGTTTTCAACTTTCAAGCATCTGAAGTCCTTGTTAAAAATGCAAATTTCTGGAACCCATTCCCGGAAGTTCCAAATTGACCTGGAGTAGAACCAACCCAGGAATTTGCAGTTTTGACAGGTAACCCAAGTTATTTTGATGCAGTCAGCCCAAAGACCACAGTTTGAAAAACTCTGGTATAATTCAAAGACTACTAATTCTAGTTCCACCTCTGTTTCTGACTTGGAAAAGTCCTTTAGCTTCTCTGGATTTCTAGTACCTCTCCTACAAAACAGATGAATTGTCCTGGCTTATTTCACATGTGAGTGGTGAGATTCTAATCTTTTCATCCTCCTGCACACGTACCGTGCAGTATTTTCTTCTCTGAAAAAAAAAAAAAAAAATTTAAACCTTTCTGCAAGGCAATGTGCTCTGTGATCTGGCCCTTATCTGTCTTTCTAGCTTCATTGCTTGGTATCCTAAAATCATTCTCCAAACTTCCATATCTTTACACATTTATTTCCTCCGTCTTGAAAGCCATTCTCTTTTTGTCCATCTGGTGAATGCCTACCTAATCCTGAAACTCAGTGCAAGCATCACCTCTATAAAAACCTTCCTGATACTTGTATTTGAATGTAAATTTAGTCTCTGCAACAGAGACACAAAATAACCACTGGCTTCGATAATACAGAACTTTATTTCTCACATAAAGTCCTGTTGGCATAGTGGCTCTCCTCTACAAAGTCATCAGGCACCCAGACTTATTTTAAACTGCATCTGAGGGCTTTGCCCTTGTTTGCATAGTTCAAGATGGCTTACCATCATGTCCAGCCAGTGGTTAGGTAAATAAAGAGGGAAGGGAGGGCATGCCGATTCTTTTCAAGGACATGACATGAAAGGAGCACACATCACTTTTGCTGACATTCCACTAGCCAGAACTTAGTTATGTGGCATACCTAATAAAGAAGTTGGTAATTGTATCCAGCTAAAACTTACGGAACTATTACTATAAAAGAAGGGGAGACTGGGTTTTGGGGAGCAATTAGCAGTCTCTGCTACAAATATCTACTCCCGACCTCTTTACCAACTAATACATACATGCATTCATTATTTAAACAAGAATATGTTAAATGCTCAGCCTTGGTAGTAAAAAATGAATGTATAGAAATTATCAGGGACCTTACTCTCAATAAATTATTGGACAGATATACTTGTATTTTTATTATGAATATTTGTATATATATCTGTATTCCCCCTTCTTCTGCCATCTTTCTATTTGTACAACCTGCACAATACACACACACTAAAATAGTTTTGTTATATCTTTTTATTTTTATGATATATCTTTTTATTCCCGGATGCTAGCAAAATATCACTCTCTTTCGTACACACATAAACACAGAAGATTATAAATATGTCTTAAGGGTCATGATGTGTGTTTTAAGGGGTCAAGATACACAGTACATGATACAATCTGTTGAAAATGTGAGCTAAAAGCTAGATATAAACTTAAAATACTATTGTCTTTCAAAATATAATTTGAGGAGCTTCTTGTTTTTTTATGATAAATCAATATAAGCGACAGCTCATTGCATTGAAAACAAGATTTAATGAGACTCTGTACCCCCAAAGTAAGGTTTAGGCAAAAAGTTTTGGGTTAGTGAATTTGTGGTTACTATTAACTCTAATCATGTGCGTAATCCTGCCTCCTTACCTCTCACTCCTGGTTTGTGACCTCATTGTGGAGTGGAGTTCCCCAGAGTAGCATATTAAATCTCAGTGAGCACTATATAAAAGCAACTATACAGAAAGGTGGATTCAACTGTTGTGAAAGTAGAGTAGTAAAAAATGTAGTCTTTACGTCACACTCTGTAATATAATCAGAATATTAAATCAGAGGTCGTGTAGAAAATTAAAAGTTAGTTACTTGGAGCTTTCTGCCAGAGGAACTTAAAGGAATGATTTTTTCCCCCCCAGGGTAGAGTATTTGAAATATTTGTAAATTAACATTTCTTGCATTTGACTCAGAGTAGCTCCTATATGCTACCCAAGTAGGTATTTAAATACATTTACTCACTTGCTTCAATATGGTCTGGGCATATAAAACTGCTCAGTTTCACTGAAGGCTGTTATAGAAATGTAAAAAGCATATAAAACAAAGAATTTTAACCTGCGTTCTTAAACACTGAGACTCATTTTATAATTATGGCTGTTTAGAAATAGTACAGGCAATTTTATTTGCAACAATTCTTTTCCTTATTCTTTTTTTATTTTATCAAGTTAATAGTGTTCTATACCTAAGCTATACCCAACTTGGAACTTTGGGGCATCAGGGACCCTATTTGTCTAAGATCCTCAAGGCCTCAAGAGAAAGGTGCATTTCGAGACCGATGGTCAGATACTGAAATAACCCATCCCCAAAGGAGGGGAGGAAGGACAGATGCTCAAGAAGGCAGGAAACTCACCCTAGATGGGTGAACATCATCCTTTGATGCTAAGTGAGAGCTGGTATGAAAGAATCATAGAGGGTAGCATTATTCAGGTGTCCTCTTGCCCAATTCTTGTGGAAACTTGTCCCAAACAATTTGAAAAGGAAATAGTAAGCTGATAATTCAAAGATCCCTTTGGGAAAGTCAAAATGATTATTGGTGGGTTCTTTAACGCAAGACTACCGAGGTTAGTCAAAAGAGCCGTATTCACTTCCAGAGGCGAAAGAAAGGCTCTCCCTTAATTTGGAAGCAGCAGAAGACCAGGAGGGAACATTATTGAAGGGTAGGGCAAGTGGAGAGGAACAAAAGTCCATAACATAACAGTTCAGAGACAACGCCATTAGAAACAACGCTCTGAGATTTAGAAGCCAAAAATGACAATAGCAACTAAGGAAGAATTTGAGTTATCTAGGATGTATAGGAAAAAGAAGACTCAGAAGTCTTATCATTTGAGCCCTTGATCATCCTTTGTGGTCCAGGAGAAACAAGGATTACGATAGACAATCATTGTAATAGATTGCACCAACACAATAATTTCCCAGAGTCGATTATTCAAGCACCACTTTCAAGATTCCCTCCCCCATTCCCATATACTACCATTTATATTATTTACTCAATGTTTTATTTTAAATCAGATTCACTTTTTTTTACTTAAGTAGAACTATAAGTAGAAAATCAGCGTGATTTCTCATAAATGAAAAAAATAAAAAAACCACAACAGAAACAAAACAGTACTGTTAAATTCTAGCTAGAAACAGTTGTGTCAAGGCTCCAGGCTTGAGGTGGATTGTTTTGGGTTAAAAAGAGAAATGAGCAATGTTAGAGAACTGTTAAACACTGGTACAAAAAACGAGACTTTCTCCTAGTCAGAAGGATCAGAAGAGCATTGAATAAAGCAGCTTTCTCAATGTGTGATTAAATGTTATTCAATGCCAAGTCTGCATACCACTTCAAATCATCTCTCATGCCTTCAGTAGTGCTGGCCACACACTTAAGAAAACACTGCATTAAGAGGTTTAAGTTCAAGAGTTAGAGGAAAAATGCTTCCTCTGAAACAAAAGGGAGAAAATACAACAAAATTCAGAACTGGCAAGAAAGAAAGTAGAAAGATCTTACGTCACAGATGAATTCAGTTCACTTAGATGGCACAGTGGTAGTGGAAATTTTAAAACTAGGTAGAATTAGAAGACCTGGTTTTTAGTTCTAATGTTGTCATGAATTAGTTGCATGACCCCAGGCAAGTCTCTTCACGTTTTATATTTGTTTCTTAGTTTGTTCAAGTCTATGCTTTATTACTAAGAAAAAAGTGAGTGGAGAGGATTTAAAGAAACTAAAATTGGCAGTCAAAAGGAGAAAGGTATTTAAATAACTATTTACCTTTTTATTTAACAATATCTACTTAAAATGTCTATTTAAAGTTTACTTCAATCAAAGAAGGCAGAAATGTGGAAATAAAAGAACAAAAACATAAGACAAACAGAAAACAAATAGAAAAATGGTAAATGTAAATCCTACCTAATCTGTAATCACAGTAAATGTAAATAGATTAAATATGCCAACTAAAAGGCAGAGGTTATGAGAATGAATTAAAAAATCCAACTATATGGTGGCTATAAAATAAGTTATTTTAGATTCAAAGACACAAACAGGTTTAAAGTGAAGAGATGGAAAACTGTGGATGTGCAAACTAGAACCAAAAGAGAGCTTTAATGGCCATATCATTATCAGACAAAATAAACGGTAAGAAACAATTACTTCCAGAATACTTGTTTTCTTAGAAGAAAAAAATCAAATTTGAATATATCAAGACATTCCGCCATTGGCAAAGGGTTAGTAAAATTGTGACAGATCTAAGAATTCTGTTGATCAATGATTTCACTGGGAGAATTGCGTATGTGTTGTGGGGTCAAAACTAAGGCCATGCCTCAATTCTGGAATATCCTAACAAATGAGATTATGTGGCAGAGGTAAAGGTATGCTTTTTATGGAGATTCCTACCCTAATACTCAGAATACATAATCATTGTATGGAATTCCTTTGTGAAATATCAGTCACTTTACACTGAAATGATACACGTTGACTTAGTATTTAAATGCATGAGCATACATAAAAAATATATAAAAATTAAATTATGATTTCTTTTGTATTTTAATTCTAAATTCAAGAATCACAAAGAGTCATAAATTGGTGAGAAGGAAGATATTTTATGTTTTTATATAACTCAATAAAAAATTCCCACTCCCCTTCCAAAAATGAACCCAACAACATCACGCTAATCAAACAAATATATACTCAAAACAACAAAAACGTTAATACAATAATGAGTCCTTGCTACGTTTGAGTGTACTCTGTCATTCTGAACTAAATTGAGAGAGCCATCTGCTGGTAAATTGATGAGCTGTCTATGATTTTTTTTTTAATGGATATATATTTAGGTTTGCCAGATAATTTATAAAGAATACTTAGTTAAATTTGAATTTCTGATAAACAACCGATGATTTTTCAACATACAATGCTTCCTCCATATGCCAGTGCTACCTTGTTTTAAATTTACAGTTACACTCTTTAAAGTGATTCAGAAAAGATTTCTTTGAAATGCACATAGTATGATTATTTAGGAATATGTTCATTCCTATATTCACATCCTCCAACATGAAGTGTTTGTATTTCCATACTCTATCATATGCCTGCCTCCTTGCCATTTCTTAATTGAGCTCTTCTTTGACTCTATTTCTTTCATGCTGCTATATTACAGTCTCCTATTTAAGGAATCTGGGTCAATTATAACTATAAATCAAAATTAAAAGATAATTTTTATTCTCTGTAGTACTTTAGTTGTAGATTCTATTTATATTTAATAAAGTGAAAAGGATATTCATTTATATTTTATTTTTGACCTTTTAAGTTTTTAATTTATGTTTTGAATTATATTTAAACATATTTGAAATATATTCACATGGTGTTAAATTTTTAAAAAATACAAAAAGATATTCAGTGGAAAGTCCTCCACCCCTATCCCTCAGGCACCCAAAGTTCCTTGATGCAGAGGTAGCCAATATACACTATGTGATCTTTAGTCATCTTCAAGGACATTATTCTCAAGTGAGTGGATACAATAGTGTTGTCTCTCAGGAAAAAAAAGTACCATAGATGATAATAAAAGACATATCATTCTTCATAGCTATGGTTTTTAATTTAATGGTTTAATTTTATTTTTCCCGAGGAACAAATAACAAGAAAATGTACTTGGTTACATCTGAAGGATTGCCTCTGGTTGCAAAATCTAATTAATTAAAAACCTGCATTATAAAATATCACAAGATGGAGATAATGCTCCATGAAAGTGGCAGTTAAAGTGGGTAAGGAAAAAATAATTTTGTCTCTTTTTGGACATTTTCCCCTCAGTATCCTTCTCCCTGTCATTCAAAGTAGTAAGAAATATTCAAAGGTCTTGTGTTCATATCCCAGCTTTGTCTCTTTCTGCCAGTAATTCTTACTTAAATTAACCTTTAAGAACGTTAAGGTCATCTGTAAATACAGGTTTATGCCCTTCTTATGAAGTTCACATTAAATAATAAATCATAATGCCCTCCAGCCAAAGCCACCAAGAACACACCTGCAGTTAAACAAGTTAGAGTTATTATTCATTACAGTGAGGGAGAATGCACACCATGGGGAACAGGATGGAGGCTGCATCTCAGTA